ATTCCACTGATTGATGAATGGAAAAAGATATTTGCCTTTACAAATAAACTTTAGGTTTTCTGATAAATGAAATCAAACATTGAAAGATGAAAGAAACAATGGGGAAAAAAAAAAATAAATTCTGCAAGAATTAAAAATTAAAAGGAGGGTTATACATTAGAGGGAAATCTTTGGTATCAGGCATTTTGGGAAGTCTGTACCTTTTAAGTACCTCAGCCAATGGGGAAAGAGAAGGGAAATGCAGCCGGGAAATTGGGATAAAAAGGGAAGCTGCCAAAGTCCTCCAAAAATTTGAGAGACCCCAGGGGAATGCCCCATAGCCTCTCCCTTCATTCGAATAAAGTAAAAGGACTCCTCTGTCTTCTTTTTGGACATAAACCTCTGATGTTTGTGGATTAATTTTCCTAACAGGAACACCAAGGGTTGGAGGAGGAGGAGGTGTGCTCTGTTGTGGGGTAGGCCCCCCCTTCCCCAAAAGTCTGTTTGTTGTTATCCAAATCAGTGCCCAAACGTTTATCTCAATCGACAATAAATTAATTTCCATGAGTAAAGTCTAGTTTTCTCCCAACAGTAATTGGGAATTGATCTCCCTGTCTTTATCTCTACTCATGAGCTTGTTTACTCTGGTCCTTTTTATTTTCTCCCCTATCCAGCTGGTTTCAGGGAAGGGAGTAGGAGTGAGCAAGCAATTGGGTGGGAGTTTTACTGCTCATCCAGGGTCAACCTGCCACACATTTTTAGTCTGAGATGATAAAATTTGCATGGTTATTAGTCAATTCTAATTATTCTTGAGAGATAAGACTGTTTCTCACAAGAGACATGAATTTCAAAGGAAGAGTAATAGGCATTTCAAAATCAAAACAAAGGTGTTCTGCCTAAAATAGGCATAGTAAAAGTGCTGGATGTGTCATTACATGTATTTTCTCAAACATTGTGAAACTTTTTAGAAAAATACATTTATGTAGTTTGAACATAGTGTTTAAAATCTTCTTTGAAATACGCCTGCAGCAATATGCTGTGTGAGAACTGAAAAGTAAACATGGTGATCTATTTAGTGGACTAAGATAACTAAAATACAAGTCACTGCAGTTAAAAATATGCAGTTGGTCTAAAGTCTTCACTAGTTGTTATCTAGATATCACAAGTTGTTGAGTTTTTATTTCCCTTAGTCATATTCCTTTCAATACCAGTGGGATATTTAAATTAATAAATGCCACTGGTAATTATTATTCCAAGTGCAATTGGCATTTGAAAGCCAATAATCAGAGTGATACACCGTATAAAATGTTAATTTATATATAGGACAGGCAATCTAGTTATGCTCCCATTTCACTCTTCCCATTGCTCTCAACGTGACAGTCGAGAGAAAAGCAGTCCAGGCAAGAGAAAAGCAATCCCAACCCAAGAGGGACACAGAGCATGAACAGGTGTGATCAGCATTCCTCTTTGTCTTCCTTGAAATCACCTCACAAGAGGTTTCTCTTCAATTTTGATCAAAAGAGATTTTAAATCTTATTTTATTTTCTCGTTCTCACATCTCTTCAAAGCAGGATGGAAGCAGGGAAGATTCATCTCGAAAGAGACAGGGAGAGAGTGCTGAGTGTTTCTTGCTGCTGCTGTGAGGGTCAGGACTGCCAGCTGCAGCCCACTGTGAGGATCTTTATTCCTCCCAGCGATGACAAGAGCAGCTGCAGCTCCAAAGCTGCTGTCAGCTCAGAGACGATTTGTTATGGGTGATCTGTCCCAGCTGGGCTGTCCCAGCTGTGCTTCTGTGCCACCTCTTCAAATAAAGGAGAAGCTTTGCATTACAGTGAACACTGCCCTCCTGCCGAGCAACGTCACCCTGCTGTCCCCAGCAGGCACAGCAAGGGCTGCGTGACAACAGCTGAGTCACGTCATCCTCACATCGCTGCTTAGCTGTGACAAAGCAGTCTTCTGGCAGGAGAAGGCAGTCAAGCCATGATGGCCTGGGGCAAGGCAAGGGTTATTCTCTTCCAGAGTTAAGGCAGCAGTGAATAACAGGGCAGGTGGCCCAAAGTCACAAGTTTTCTGTGGGGCTCAGTATGGTTTCTACTCTGCAGTTTGGGGATTCTCAGTGACAATGCCCATATGTGGTGAGACTCAGGGGCATAAATGAAGCTGTGTAACAGCAGCACAGGTTCTCTTATCTTGGCAGTCACTGCAGGTGTGTGCTTGTTTCTGTATCATCTCATATACCCATCCTTAATTCCACATGGAAGGAAAAAGGCAGTTGCTCCTTTCAGCCAGCAGCTGCCACTACTGTCTTTCTCTGTCTCAAAACAGTTTTGAGGGAGAAAGTGTTTGTTAAGTTGGAGGACTTCTGTTTGTTTGAAGGGTTTGTTCCTTTACTGAAATAAAAAAAAAAAAAAGGGGGAAAGAAGGGGACTTGGGCTGGCAGCATTTATTCCTTTAACTTCTCAGCACCAGCTGCTATTGCTTCTGAAAGAGTCCAGAGTAATAACCCTGGTGCTTTTCCATTGATTGCTAGGCTTTGTATTTAACCACTACCACAATATAATACATGTGGCTGATGCTGCAAAAGGCTCACTATACACAGGGGGGAAATGAGAAGGGGGACTTCTGATAAGCTCCACCCTCAAAAATAAACTCTTTCCACGTTCTGTGATATGATGCAGTGCAGATGTTGATTACATCTTAGTCTTAGACTCTTGGGGCTTTTCTCTCCCTCATGAATCCCAGAAGTACTCAGGGGATGAATTCAGTTCCAAATGCTTAAATTCTAACTGAGATTTGTAAGACTCTCAGCAGTACTTTAGACTGGTTTGTTCTTCGATGTGGTTTGATGCTACCTCTCTTTTATCATGTGCTGTGAAAATCAGTAAAATCAGGCTGACACAGAAGGTGCTGTGCTTGGATAGATGAGCTGGTGTACCCTGAAATGAGTGGGGTAAGTCATGCCCAGTGCTGGTTATCTGCTGGTGACTCTTGCACCTTTTTTGCAAAGCTGTCTATGAAACCTTGGCCTCCCTTTGCTTTTACTTAAGTTATGCTTCCTACAGAACCAAACACATTTCTGTGCCAGCCCAGTGCTGTGACACCACTGGACAGGAAAGATGGACAGCCAATCATGGGAGAAGAATGATCTGTTAGGTCTGCAAGGCTGGGGTAAGTGAGCAGCAAGCTGAAATGTTCCATTCATCAGATATCAGATCTTCACAAAAGAAAATAGATTGGTAGTTTAATAGAAGTGTCTGTTCAATATTAAAAATATGTTTTAATGCTTCTCTTGTTTACTAAAATAAGGAAACCTGAAACTTCTTTGACAAAAAGGTTTGGATGAAAGCTAATTTTTTTTTTTTTTAGCTTAAAAGTGTTACTTAGGAATTGCACACAACCCTGAGTACTGCTTATTTTTTCAATGCATTGAAGTGTTGTGGAGATTCAAAATGCATTCTTGACTTCCTTAGAGTCTTTTGAGTGTTTAATACGGACCACAATGTGAATATACAGTTGCTTGTGTCTTCCCACAAGTTTTGCTATTCACAAGCCTAATTTTAATCCTATAATATCTGGTATTTGTTGGTTGAAACACTGTCTGTTTTCTTTTTTTTTTGATAGCAGAAGTTGGTGGGTTAATATGTGGTCAATGCTAACAGCTTCTCTGTGAATAACCTGCCAGCCTTCCATGGAAGGTGTGGAACTCTCCCATGGCATTTGAGGTGTAGAGAGACAAACACCATTGGAAGCCAGCCTGCGTAATGTTCAGCACAACAAAGAACAATTGTGTGTCTGGAATGATGCTGTTCTGGACTCTCAAAAAATTAACAAACCAACCAAAAAGCCCTTTGTCTCTGACTTAAATGTGCATGTGGCTTTTATCTGCTGCTACGTCTTCTCAAGCTTAGAAATATTCACAGGTAGGAAATAGAAATTCTTGGTCAGAGATGAACCTTCCTTTCTCGCCCACCTGCTGGGGAAGATGAGTTGTCTGTCTCTCTCCCACTGAGCCACCAGGAGTTACCTCTTGCCAGCACACATTTGTGAGAGATCAATTTAAGTAAAAATGCCTGTTCCAGTCTTGGTATATAATAAAATACAGACTAAGGCAAGGCTGGCAAATAACCCAGCCCAGCTTCCTGAATGTCAACAGGGAATACATTTACATGAGAGGAGCAGTACAGAAGACTGATATTTATACCTTCTAGTCACAATGATTGCATATCAAGAGTAACGGAATTTTTGCTTTTAATATGGATATCATCTGCCATTAGTTGGTAGAAATTAAGGCTTCAACTGATTGAATAATTTAAACAAGTTTAAATGTGAATTTCTTTATGAAGGAAAGTTTAATATGAATGAAGCTAACATGGCACTCTGTAAACTGACTAGAGTTCAGTTCAGAGGTTCTAGATTTAGACAGTGTAAACAGCATCATTCTTAGTTTTGGACCATTTACAGTGTCATGACCATGAAAAGTGGATTTAGCACAGGGTTTCATTTACATACCTGCTACGTTGGGGAAAAGAAGCAATAAAAATCAGGGCATTTATTTTACATAGAGCTGGTATGCTTTTGAGAACAAAACTGTTTTATTCAAAAAATAAAAGAAAAAAACAAAAGAGATATTTTTAGCAGAAGTAATGCGAGCTCGTTGCTTACTTCCCGGCACCGGCCACCCCTCTCCGTGGTGCTGAAGCGGCTCCCGGCGCCCCCGAGGGTGCGCGCCGTGCGCGGAGGGCCCGCCCTGCATCCTCCGCCCCTGCATCCCCGGCTGCTGCTGCTGCATCCCCCATTCCTGCATCCTTCCTCCCTGCATCCCCCGCCCCTGCATCGGTGGTCCCTGCATTCGGCCCCTTCCCTGCATCCCCCTTCCCTGCATCCCCCGCTCCCGCATCCGCTCCCCCCCGCATCCGCCGCCGCCGCTGCGGCTCCAGCGCCGCCCCCGCCGCGCAGCGCCGGGCGGGCTCCGGCGGGGCTCCATGGCGGAGCGCGGGGCCTGAGGCGGCGGCGCGGGCGGCATGGAGGCGGATTTCGCCGCCTTCGGGAGCCCGCTGTGCGGCGAGGTCAAGCGCTTCTGCCGGCGGGTGCGGGAGACGTACCGGGAGATCCAGGAGGACCTGACGCCCTACAAGGATGATCGCTACTACCGGTACTGCCGGGCGCGGCTCCGCCGGAATCGGGGCCGAGCGGGGGGCGAGCGGGGGGTCGGTACCGGGCATCACACGGGGAGCCCGCGGCTGAGCCGCCGGGAGCGGCCGGCCGGCCTCGGGGCTGCTCCAGGCGAGCGCCCGGATCCCGCAGCCCGGCGGCCCCGCCGCTCCGCCCGGGAGATGTGCTCTGGCAGAGCCCCCCGATCAGACAGCCCCACGCCTCTCTTCCTGCCCTCACCTGTTAACACCCACATACAGGCAATTTCCATCTGCGTCCCTCCGTGCTACCACTTTTCCACTGTCGTAGCAAGCAAGGATGTGTTCTATAGGCAGCCGCGAAACAATCCTGGAACAGGGTAAGAATAGATTAGGAAAATGAGAGTGGTTGGCAAAGGTTGAGGTCAGAAGGGACAGATACACTGCCTGGGCTACACCTACACTTCTTCAGAGCCTTGCCTTGTCTGCTGTTTCCGTGATTGACCAGTGATGGCTGGAGAGATGGATGGTTTGAGATTACACAAGGCTAGGAAGGGCTCCAAGGGTGTTGGGCACCTCGGTTATAAATGAAAGGAATTTTTGAATTGGAGGAAATTTCCAAAAAAGTAGAATGAACATCAGGAGAAACAGGTGCCAGGAACTATGCAGAGAATGGATGCTGTTCAGCTACGCAAATACAAGCTGGGGAACAGCTATATGACATTTTTGTCTTAAAAGGGTATAGAAATTGCAATCTTTTATAAAATAGCCTCTTTTTGCCAGGAAAGTCTTAGATCTGGCAAATCAGTCTTGGATGCTGTCCTAAGACAGAGGGAAAGATAAGGTACTGTGTAAGGTCTCTTTCAGCTCTATTTTACTGTGCTTCTGCACAGTAGCCCAGCTGTTCTGCTTAAGTCATTTGACTTCAGAATGTGGTTTTTCCCAGTGAAGGGGCAGGTGGTCCATTAGATTGAGTTTGTCTCATTATTCACAACATCAAAGACTACAGAGTCACAGAGCTTGGAAACACAGCCAGCTTGGCAGAGTCTAATAAAACCATGGTCTTTCCTGGCAAAACAGTGGCTCCTTACACTTGAGCATGGTGTGAGAAGCCACGGGAGGTGATAAGGAGTGATGGCAATGTACCTGTGTGCATCTGGCAGCGCAATGAGGAATATTGGCACTAGAATGGAGAAAGAGGGGAGGCATTAACTTGTTGAATTAACAAATAAGAGGTGCTGGGAGACACATTTGTTCAGATTTATTTCCAAAAGAATCCTGAGATCTCCAAGATAAACTATTATTAATTCATTTTTATGACCTTAAGAGTGTATGGAGGGACTTTCTGCATTGAGAAGAAAAGTTGCTACCTCAGTGAATCAAATGAGCTTGCAGCGTTAGTGCTAGATTGCCCTTTCTTCAGTGACAATACCCCCAAGAGGTATCAGCTGCTGGTCAGCTAGAATGAAATGGAGTAATACTGGACTCTTAGCATGGAAATAATACTTCCTGACTTACAAGTCATGCTAGTAATTCCCTGCATTCCCAAGATCTTAACCTAAGTGACCTGGTGTAAAGCGAGTTACTGCCACTGCATACCTGCTGTTCTGGCGAGTGCTTCCCTTCAGCACCGTGGGTGGATGCAGCAATGGCACCTTGCTTTTTAGATACCTGGTGTGAAGGAGGGTTCCTTGATGCTACCATGCATTCTTCTTACAGGCAACTCCCACTTACAGGAAGGAGAATTAGATTTTTAATCCCCTTGTCCCTCTTTGTTTTACTCGGGATGTTTGGTCAGGTTCTAAATGAGCCCACTCTGAGATGTAATGTAGAGACTTTACTGCTCTGACAGCAGTTGACAACTCCCCTGCTTCTCTAAGGCATTTTGAGTAGACTTTTGGTATGAAAACACCTTAGTATCAATATTAATAAGACACATTTTTATCTCTTTGACATACTAACAGTGAGATACCAAAGCTTACCGGGAGATACCAGGCTTCCCAATCAGCTGACAGATATTCTTCAGCGGGAATTTCATAACTCTATCACCTAGCTGGTGTTGAAGAATTCAGCTTGCTGGAAACATTTTTATAGGAATTGAAGAGCAGGAGGGTGGCCAAATTGTGGTCTGACATCAGAGTTGCATAACTGCAACAAGGCATTCCTGAAAAATCAATTTGTAGGTTAATGAACATGTCCCACTGGCCAATCAGCTTATACAGGGAAGCACAGTGTTGATGCTGAATTTAGTAATAATACCCAGAGACTGAGAGAAATGTCCTTCAATCTGCCCTGCTTTACACAAGGGATAAATTTTAAACTCCTATCATGTAATAATATGACATTTTGTACATCAAAAGGAAAAGACTCTATATAGGACGTCACAAAAAGTATTTTTTAACTTGCAGCTTTAATTAATGCTTGATGTTACACAGATAATCTTCAAACCATGTGGGAAAATTTCATTGACTGTGGTTCTGCTCTTCTGACAAAAAGACCTGAGAAGACCACATCATTTGACTCAGCAATAAAAAGAAGCTGTTCATTTTTCCTTAGAGAACTGGTACCTGTGTGCTTCTGAGGAGAAACCTGAAGTTGCTAAAGAAGGCTGTTGTGATAAAATATACATTTCTTCAGACCAATATACATCTTCTACCAGGACTAAAGTGGAAGTCTGTGAGAAGCCATGGGGTCAACAAGACCTTGTTGGACATCTGCAAATTCCTGGAAGGTTCATGCTGCCTTCAGCCTTGAACCAGGCAGGATCTTCAGGCTGCTTTGAGCACAGCTGGTACCCTTCTCTTGTTCTTTCAGGGTCCTGGCAATTGGAATAACCTGAATGACCCCAATGGGAAGTGTATAGCTAAGGCTTGAAGTATGGAAGTATAGAAGGCTTATAGAAGCTTATACTTCCATAGAAGTATAGAAGTATATAGAAGGCTTGAAACAGAGAGAGGAGGATGAGACTAACACTGTAGCTTCATGATCGCTTCAAGCTGCCATAAGCTGGCTTTGTGGCTGGAAAAAGCCATCCTAGCTCTCATTTCTGCTCTTTCCTCATCTGCCCACAATTAATCCTTTATCTGCACACTGACTGAGCAAACGATTCCTAAGTGACCTTTAACTCAGATGATTTCCATTATTTGATTCACCAGTCCACTGCACTAACATGAGTGCTGGCAAAATTGAAAGAGCTCCAGCTAGAGAGAGACTGGGTTTCACCTGTTGTCACTGAAGCTGTGACTCTGTAGCTGTGAGCCATGAAAGTGTAAACTGGCCATGAAAGTACAGCTTTAGTGCTGAGGTGTTCAGTTTAAGTAGAATCCCAGCTGAGTGAGCATTCAGCCTCCTGTTGATAGCTCAGTCTGCCTTCTCTTGCAAGCCTCATTCATCACACACGTCCAGCTCCTACAACCAATGAGGCAGACAGCAGCTTCTTGCACTATTTCATCCTAGAGCAGGTCAGACAAGGCACTCAGTGGCATCTTCTTGGAAGAAGCAGACTGACTGACTCTGTGAAGAGAGAGGAGTTTCACAGTGTCTTCCCTCCGAGTGTTTAGGTTGTGAACTCAGTGCCAAAATTTTCACAAAAAATAGCATGAAATGTACATGTTTACAGTGTATTCACAACCCTTTGTAAGTTGGCAGATAGCAAAGAGAAATGTGGTCCCATGGCCAATTGAAGTGAGCTGGATTTCAAGCTCTGCCACCCACACAGTTCTCCAAGTGACTTTTGGCAAGGCTCAGTCTCTCTGTGCTTAAAGTTTCCAACCTACCCAATGAAAAAAACATAGTTTTGGTTTGAGGATAATAAATTCACATTAGTGGGACACCTGAGTGCCAGAGTCCTTGGAACAGCTCCGTTGTGAGCACATAAATAGAAGTGTAACTGCAGAGAGTCATAACTCCACAACCACGCTTCCCAGAACACTGGGAATGGTCACAGATGCTGTAAGCACCATTCCATCATTTTCTGGCCAGGGAGAACTTGTTGGAGAAGCCTGAAGTGTGCTGAAAGCAGCACAATGTATGTCATAGTCATCCATGACCTAATGGCAGTGATGATAACTTGCTCTGAGCAGATACACTTTGTTAAATTGTCCTGATTACTCAAAGCTTTATTTTCTTTCCCCCAGTTAATTCTTGTCTACAGTTTAAACTCTTGTTGATTTAAAATGTGTGGACACCTTTTCTTCATCAATTGGTACTATGTATTTCTGAAGGCAGCTATTTTTATGAGATTACTAAGTGATCATCAGTGCTGTAAACCTCTGATGGGATAAATACCAGTATCAATGACTAAATTAATTCCCAGCATGTTTTTAGGTTCAGTGGTGTTACACACCACTGTATACTGGGTCCCACAGGTCACAAGTAATGACATAACTGCCCCTAGAGTAATGGAATAAAATAAATAATATTATTAAACCTAAGTACTTTTAAAAAGGAAATGCAATTAGACCATTGTATCATTGAAATAAGCTTGTAATGAAATTATTTAACTGATGAAGAGATAATTTTTAAATTATTTGTTGACTGATCTATCTAAGCATTTCTTTGGGGATCATCCCAAAATGGCTCTGCCTTCTGAATATGACAAACACCAAAGCCAGCCAGTTATTCTGAATTTCATTCAAGACTACACATCAGGTATTCCCACATGTTTCAGTAACTGCAATGCTGACTTTCTATGAGCAGATGTTAGAGCTATCAAAATTAGTACAAAACATAGTTTGGTTAACCCTTACACCTTCCTACTCTTTACCATCACTACCCAGGTTGTCAATCTCTGTTGCCCAGTCTTAGGACATTTAACAGAAATTCAGAACAGAAATCCAACTTTATCTTAACATTGTGCAAGAACAGAACACTGTTGAATGTGAACTAGAGATTTTTATTACATAGCGTGTTTAAAGTAATCGCCTACTCCTAGGATTTAATTTCTGTTGCTCGTGAGCTCACTGAATTCTCTGCAAACACAATACATCAATCACATCCCTTGAATGCCACAAAGCTTCGTGAG